TTGTGGCATACCAACAAATCACATTATAATAGAACTTGTGTTGTCGTGACAATACACAGCTTGTCATTGTAAAATGTGAAACATTTCATGTGATAACCTGATAACAGACTTATTTCATAGATATTTAAACTCATCATATATTTAGGAATATGGCATTTCATGCTTACAAAACAATACAATACAATCCATTTGGCTGAGGGGATGTAAAAGAAGACACACTGACAGACATCCACAGAAAAACAACAACATATTGTGACAAAAACACATGCTCCAAAAAGAGTTCATGTTTTTTTATTGTAAATTTGCGTATTTATTACTTTTACAGAGTGTGTATTTCTCTATTTCTTTGCTGCTGTAACATCTGTAACATCTGTACTCTCTTATCTACTTTACTTCATCTTGCCTGACCTTAACTTAACCAATCTTATCTCATCTCATCTCATCTTATCTTATAAACAAAGAAACTCATTGTAGTGTGATAGATGGCTGTCTCTCTGATCAAGAGGACTAAAGAAGTAAATAGAGCCCCATCTGTTTCCTGTTCTGAATTTATGTCCCGCATTAATATTTAAAGACACATTTTTTAATCTCTAATTAAATCATCCAAAACTTAATTGATTGTTGTCACTACGCCTGGTCAATTACCGGACTATTTCGTACGGCGGATGTGTCCACGGTGTCCGTCATATTTCCGGTGCTGATGAGCGCCTCGGTAACGCAGCGCTGTTCCCGCTAACAGGAGCAGCGAGCCTCATCCACCGAGAACCGGCTGCAGACCGCCTGAGAACCGCTCTCCTCTTCTGCTTCTGCCTCCTGCTCAGCGGCCTGCAGCCTGCTCTCTGTCCGCTCAGAGGGGCCCCGGGAGCCGTACGTACCGCGGCCAGAACCAGACGATTAGCCTGAGCGGCGCGTTAGCAGCGATGTCGGGTGTAGTGCGAGGCCCCGCTGGGAACAACGACTGCCGAATCTACGTGGGGAATCTCCCCCCCGACATCCGCACCAAGGACGTGGAGGACGTGTTCTACAAATACGGGACCATTCGGGACATCGACCTGAAGAACCGGAGAGGGGGCCCGCCGTTCGCCTTCATTGAGTTCGAGGACCCGAGGTGAGTGCGGAGCTAGCAGACCGTTAGCTTTTGAGGCCGGGGGCAGCGCCATTGTGCGGCTAACCAACGCCTGCGATAACACGTTAGTGAGCGGGTTCGGACTTTTCCCTGGATCCTCTGCACCTTGCAACCATAGCGAAGTATGTTTTTTTTCCTCTTTAGGTTTCCTCTTTGTGTTGTTCCCAGTGATCATACAATGTCATGTTGAAAATATCTCCTGTGTATTTGTTTTCGTAGCCTCCACAAGGTAAAGCACAAAACACCCACTGGCTTTGTTGCAATTAAGCCTGGTCTACGCTTGCACCTTACGCTTCATTGTGCAACATTTAGCCGGCGCCAGTGTGCTCTGTTTATTCATTGATATGCTGTTTTTCTCTTTTTAGTTCAATGGAGCGATATTAGCTAATTCACATGCACGTCTGCACCGAGGATTAGGACGCGAGATGAAGCTAGTCTCCAACATGACTGACTCCATCCAGGGCTGTCTCTCCGTGTCCGTCCTGAACTCCCGAGGCGTGTTAATGTGTAAACTGTGCTGTTTTACGACCAGGGACGCAGATGATGCGGTCTACGGACGCGATGGTTATGACTACGACGGCTACAGACTGCGCGTGGAGTTCCCCCGGAGCGGCAGGGGCTCCAGAGGCGGGTTTGGAGGGATCGGTGGAGCCCCCAGAGGCAGATACGGGCCTCCATCCAGACGCTCTGAGTACAGGGTCATTGTGTCAGGTGGGTGATCTGGCTCTCACGCCGAGGGTATTGATATGGAAAGCTCTCCCTTCGGACTGCTGGTGTGGTTTCACTTTTATGAAGTGTGCTCTCTTGAATGCAGCAATGAGCTTGAAACTTTCATGCCATCATTGAGGCCCCATATAAACAGAAGAGCACCTCGTTTGCTTCTACATTTTTACAATACATGTGCACAACAGTCAGGCTCCAAATGACAACTGTCCTTAATTGATTTGAAGACTTCTTTCTAGATGAATTGGTAGTTGTCAGTCTCAAAGTTGACAACTGTAAGTAAAGACCCTGAGCCCAAACTATTAATGTACTGTCTTAGATTCAGAATAGGCCTTTGAGAAGCTTGAAGTGATAGTTCACCCAAAATTCACTCATTATCTACTCACCTCTATGCCGATGGAGAGTCGGGTGAATGGTTCGAGTATTGTTTCCCCATACAATTGATTTAAATGGTGACCACATCTTCTAATGTATAAAAAAACAAAAAATATTAAATGCCTCCATACTGCTCCTGTGGTGTCAGCCAAGTGTCTGTAAACCTGACCTCCAAATTTGACAAAACAGCATCATTTACACCATTTTTAACCTAGAATGATGCCATTTCCATTCCATTTGAATATCTGTTCTGCCATTTCCTTCAATTTTATTGGATGTTGCTGCAAGGCTGTTAACCCCTGAAACACTGAAAGTGTTTGTCACCCACCCCTCCATTGGCACAGTGGTGAACAGATGAGTGAATTTTCATTTTTGGATGAACTCTCCCTTTAAACCAGATGATTTTTGGCACCTCTCCCGAAATGACACATTTCATTGATTATCATGACGGTTGGTAATGTTTTATTGAGTAGTTGGCGCTTTAGACAATATTAAGGAACACATTGTCACAAAGTGATGTTACAGTATAACCAAAAAAATGTTAAAGGATGGTGCACACAGGGTTACCAGCATAATGTGACTAACGTTAACTAAAGTCAATACCATTAACTGAAATGTTAGTGTCACAAAATCTGACAGCTTCAGTTTAGTCATGTTGTTTAATGATGTGTTTGAGTTTCTGCACTTACAGTGTCAGTTAACAGATTTTTCATTGTTTCTGTTTAGGGCTCCCCCAGAGCGGCAGCTGGCAGGACCTGAAGGATCACATGCGCGAGGCTGGTGACGTGTGCTACGCTGATGTTTTCAGAGATGGAACCGGGGTTGTAGAATTTGTGCGCAAAGAGGACATGACCTATGCCGTTCGAAAGCTGGACAACACCAAATTCCGCTCGCATGAGGTATGTGTACTGATTTGATTATTGATCAGTGTCATGGATAATGTGTCTTTGCTGTATCAAGGTAAGTACTTTGCGGTGTTGCCACATGTTTCTGAAGCACAACCCGGCTCTCTTTCCCATTTTTCCACATTATCGCTATCGGCGGGAATGTTGTCTTTTCAATGTCAAGTTCTCTTGTGTCCGCCAGGGAGAGACTGCTTACATTCGTGTGAAATTAGACGGTCCCCGCAGCCCAAGTTACGGAAGATCACGCTCCCGCAGTCGTGGCAGCCGAAGCAGAAGCCGCAGTCGCAGCGCCAGCCGCAGTCGCAGCAATTCCCGTGGCCGTGGCAGAGGATCGCCCCGCTACTCGCCTCGTCACAGCCGCTCTCGCTCCCGTTCCTAAACCTTTCTACCACTGATGTTTTGCCCTTTTGATGTGTACCCCTCCCCCTTGTTTTTACCTTTTTATGAGTTTCTCCAGAAGTCAGCTATTGATTTAAAATTTTTTCCATTTCATGTCCCGATGTCCTTGTGGATGATCTTGGTATGTAGATGTACCCCCTCCTCTCCGTCCCCTCCCAGCTCCTCTCCAGCTGCTTATTCCTCCTGTTCTCTCCCTCTCTCCTTTCTGTCCTCTCAATTTTTGCAACATAAGAGATTGTGCTGTGTTGAGCTTCCAAAAATGTTGAGTTATAGACTGAACTCAATGTTTTTGCAAGTATTGAAAATTGAGTTCTTTTTTTTAATCGTCTCATGGATATGTGGGGTGGGCTGTTTGGATGGGAAGCCCAATACTTAACTGTATTTTACCCTTGTGTCTTCCTTTAGACATCTGAAGAGAAGGATTAAAGTGATTTGGAATAAAACCATTGTGGAGCACATTTCATTTGTATGGTCAGGATAGGACATCTAATTGAGGAGCAATCAGGTCGGGGCAATGGTACGCTTCATATTCCATAAATTGAACGTTTTGATTGGTTGCCATATCATGCATGTCATATTTAACAAAGCCATATGTGCTGTACTTTGTTATACATATATATATGAAGTTTTTAAAATGCTACTCTGGGCTGTGACAGAATAAACAGTCGTAGATCAATTGTTGTGATGTAAGTGTAACATCTTTTGCTTTCAAATGTAAAAATCTGATCACTTCTCTGTTGCAGAAGCGTCCCACTTGTAACTTAAATGTCCTCAAATGTTTTAACTTCAGGGAGTGATAGTCATTGTGGCAATTTCTTTTTTTTTTCTTGATCTGACATGAGTGCTCAACATGGAAAAAAAATTAGGCCCAAAAATCTTGACATTTTATTCTAACGGTCTGCCTCTGATTTTCTTCCTGGTATTTCAAGGTTTTGATTGGAGGAGTGGCTCAGTGGATCCCAATCCTTGGAGCTGGATGAGTGGATCGATTAGGGAAGGGATAGGCAAGGATGGATGCTCGGAACGGGATCAGTTTTTCCAGGAGTCAAATGAGAGTTGAATTCAGAACTAAATAACGCGGAGTCCCAGAGCAACTTTTTTTCTATTAGGCCCTCCCCCTGCCTATCTTTAAAGTTTTTCAGTGATAATGGCTTTATTTGACAAGAAAACGAAACTGAGGACCAGGAAGTTGGATCAAAGGATGGAATCGTAGATGCCTGGTATGAAGGAATTAATTAAAAATTGGGGTGGCTGGGAAGGGGTTTCATTTGGGAGTAGTTTGTATGTTTTGTTTTTTGCTTAATCTTTTTTTCTCTTAGCATTTTCAATAAAACACTTCAAAACAAGGAAACTGGTTTGTTTTTATTACTCATGCATCACTTCATGTAACTTGAAGACACATCTAAAGCGTTGAAGTCAGTGGAAGTGTATTGGTTGTGTCACACTTAAAAAACTACATGCAATGATTGTAAATCTGCTAGCAGCTTAATAATAAATGATTTTCTAGGAAATCCTTGCGGTAAAAGATTTAAAAAGACAGTGAATAAGCAGCATTCAACGCTTCATAGTCTCAGGCTGGGATGAAAAAACCCTTACACTCGCATCCAAGTGATGTCGAGCTGCAGCCAAGGACTCGTTTCCTTTTTTCTCCCACAGTCTATGTGGTGTGTGTGTGTGTGTGCGTGGTGTGTGTGTGTGCCGTGAATGATGCATTGTGGGATGAAATAAGATGCCGGCAGACAGGAGCTGGAGAAAAACGCTTGTTACGCACGGGGAGGCGGCGGCGCAGCCAATGGCGAGGAGCAGCATGCAGCAGAGGGGCGGGGAGCAGCCGGAGAGAGCAGAGAGCACCGAGACAAACCCACCTACATGCTTATTGTGTCAACCTTTGAAAAGCAATTAAGACGCAGCATCATTTAAAACCCTGCGAACCTTCATCTGGCTGCAGCGAAACCACATTGTCTGCAAAGAAGTGTCTCCAGGTCGCTTGAAGAGAAGGTGAGTGGCAGATTGGATCCTCTCGTCCATGTCCTGACATATCCCTGATGCCAGTTTCTCTTACGATGCTTTCACTGTTTGTCTTTATTCATTTGATGTGCTCACACGTGATTTTATGTGTTGGCGTCAAGAGGAACAAGAGGTGCATCAGGCTTTGATCTGGATTCATTTCTGGTACTTTTCGTCTCCTGCTGCAGAAGTGATTTGAGCCAAGTAATTTAACTCCACCTGTATCAAGTTTCACAGCCAATCTATGCACCGCTCAAGTCATCGTCCAGTTAGGAACATGGATATAAATACGCATGATTAAGTTCTGATGGTGTAAATCACAGAGAACGCGGTGCCTCGCAATGGCCCGTGTTCTGCGTAAAAGGCAGATGTTTGCTGGCCTTAACCATCCCCGTCACCACGTGCGGTGTTCATTTTCAGTGCGGTACGTCCGAGTGAACGTGCACCTTCCTCCTTCCTCCATCAGGCATCCTCCTCCTCATCAGCCATGACTGACAGGAAAGCTGTGATCAAGAACGCAGACATGTCCGAGGACATGCAGCAGGACGCGGTGGACTGTGCCACGCAGGCCATGGAGAAGTACAACATAGAGAAGGACATTGCAGCCTACATCAAAAAGGTGAGAGGAGGCTGCACGGATGGATCCAAACATCTGTAGCATCACATGATCTGCAACATTCACAGGCTTGTTTTGTTCTCACATCTATTTTTGGGATATTATGAGCAGGGCCGTAGCCAGGCTTTTATTATGACTGAGCCCACATGCCCCCCCCCCTCAAAGCAGCACAGTGTTTTCAAACATCAGAAAGAAAATCTCTCTAATTTGCGTGGTGTGTTCCATAAAGTAACTATAGAAAAATATAATGACAAATAAGATGAAAAATTATGTTGGAGTTTTCAAAACAGAACAG